AAGATGGGATCTCTTGGGTACAGAAGGTTGCGGCGGTGGAAATAGGGTTTCGTGGTGCTCCTGGATGTTTGTGGGGTATGTAGATATATATAGGAGGAAGAAGTCGGTCGGTGGAGCAACGAGGGGCCCACGAGGGTGGAGGGCGCGCCCCCCTGCCTCGTGGCCTCCTTGTTGATTGCTTGATGTCCACTCCAAGTCCTCTGGATCATGTTTGTTCCAAAAATCACGCCCCCGAAGGTTTCATTCCGTTTGGACTCCGTTTGATATTCATTTTCTACGAAACACTAAAATAGGCAAAAACAACAATTTGGGCTAGGCCTCCGGTTAATAGATTAGTCCCAAAAATAATATAAAAGTGTAAAATAAAGCCCATTAACATCCAAAACAGATAATATAATAACATGGAACAATCAAAAATTATAGATACGTTGGAGACGTATCATCTAGCTCGTCGTCGTCAGCAGCGGCAGCTGCAATGACATCGCCCCGCCACCACCATCGTGAGGGACGAGCACCATGGTCGCCGGTGATTGCCTCAAACCGTGGCTCTGATACCAATTGTTGGTGTCTTACCCTTGAACCCTAGCTAGCCCTAGCTCTCTCTCCCTCTCTCTCTCGGTAGCACTCTCTTCTTTCTCTGCTATGCTTCGAACGACGCAAGGAAGAAGAAAGGAGGAGGAAGAAAGACATAGGAGACACGGTGGGTTTTCCAGCGCATGAACGCCGCCTCAACAACGGCCTTTTCCCGAGAAATAGACTCGACACCACACCCATTACAATGAGCTCAACAGGGGTCTTATACCCAGGGCTAGCAGTGGGCACGACCCATGCTCCCACCAAGTCCACGTGCTTGATCCGACCCGCTCTGACCGTTCCCACGACGCGCACGCTGGCGCGGGGATCGCGTCGAGCCCGCAACGGATCAGTGCCAATCACCCCGTCCAGCTCGCCAATGGCTTGGACCTGGTCTGGTGCCTCACGCTCATACACGCGTGTCCGCACCCCTGCTCTTCCTACGCATGCACACATGCAACCCAGACCTGCCCCGTACACTAGTCGGACACAGGTCAGACTATGAACTAGTCGGATGATACGTCTCCAACGTATCAATAATTTTGATTGTTCCATGCTATTATATTATCCATCTAGGATGTTTTACATGCATTTATATGCTATTTTACATGATTTTTGGGACTAACCTATTAACCTAGAGCCCAGTGCCAGTTTTCTGTTTTTTCCTTGTTTTTGAGTATCATGGAAAAAGAAAACCAAACGGAGTCCAATTGACCTGAAATTTCACGGAGATTATTTTTGGACCAGAAGAAGCCCACGGAGTATCGAAGATGGGCCAGAAGAGTCCCAAGGCACCCACGACGGGGGGGGGGGGCGCCCCCTACCTCGTGGCCGCCTCGGGGACTCCCCTGACTTGTTCCCGACTCCAACACCTCTTATATATACCCAAACTTCCAGAAAGAAACCTAGATCGGGAGTTCCGCCACCGCAAGCCTCCGTAGCCACCAAAAACCAATCTAGACCCGTTCCGGCACCCTGCCGGAGGGGGGAATCCCTCTCCGGTGGCCATCTTCATCATCCCGGCGCTCTCCATGACGAGGAGGGAGTAGTTCACCCTCGGGGCTGAGGGTATGTACCAGTAGCTATGTGTTTGATCTCTCTCTCTCTCTCATGTTCTTGATTCGGCACGATCTTGATGTATCGTGGGCTTTGCTATTATAGTTGGATCTTATGATGCTTCTCCCCTCTACTCTCTTGTAATGGATTGAGTTTTCCCTTTGAAGTTCTCTTATCAGATTGAGTCTTTAAGGATTTGAGAACACTTCATGTATGTCTTGCATGTGCTTATCTGTGGTGACAATGGGATACTCACGTGATCCACTTGATGTATGTTTTGGTGATCAACTTGCGAGTTCCGTGACCTCGTGAACTTATGCATAGGGGTTGGCACACGTTTTCGTCTTGACTCTCCGGTAGAAACTTTGGGGCACTCTTTTGAAGTTCTTTGTGTTGGTTGAATAGATGAATATGAGATTGTGTGATGCATATCGTATAATCATACCCACGGATACTTGAGGTGACATTGCAGTATCTAGGTGACATTAGGGTTTTGGTTGATTTGTGTCTTAAGATGTTATTCTAGTATGAACTCTAGGATAGATTGAATGGAATTAATAGCTTCATGTTATTCTACTACAGACTCTTGAATAGATCGATCAGAAAGGATAACTTTGAGGTGGTTTCGTACCCTACAATAATCTCTTTGTTTGTTCTCCGCTATTAGTGACTTTGGAGTGACTCTTTGTTGCATGTTGAGGGATAGTTATATGATCCAATTATGTTATTATTGTTGAGAGAATTTGCACTAGTGAAAGTATGGACCCTAGGCCTTGTTTCGAAGCATTGCAATACCGCTTGTGCTCACTTTTATTATCAGTTACCTTGCTGTTTTTTATATTTTCAGATTACAAAAACCTATATCTACCATCCATATTGCACTTGTATCACCATCTCTTCGCCGAACTAGTGCACCTATATAATTTACCATTGTATTGGGTGTGTTGCGGACACAAGAGACTCTTTGCTATTTGGTTGCAGGGTTGTTTGAGAGAGACCATCTTCATCCTACGCCTCCCATGAATTGATAAATTTTAAGTCATCCACTTGAGGGAAGTTTGCTACTGTCCTACAAACCTCTGCGCTTGGAGGCCCAACAACGTCTATAAGAAGAAGGTTGTGTAGTAGACATCATCGCACCATGGACAGACAATGGCCAGACACTGGCCAAACACGCACACATGCATGCCACACACCCGACGCATCACGCGTGCACACACACGCACACCCGACACGGTCGCCGTGGCTTATTGCCAACACATGTGTGGTATATGTTGCACCGAACGGAGTACCAAGCTTTATTCAAGATGATGTGTATGCAGTTGGATTGGATGACGAGGGAGATTTTTACCCAACATGAGTGGCAACATAATCTTCGTAGAAACACATTAGCTGAAGTAGAGAGAAGTGTTGGCGAGCGGCCATCGTGCAAGGCTTCGACTATAGGATATAGAATACAGGTCATTCTATCTTCCAATAGAAACACATTAGCTGGGATGGTGCGCGCGAGCTGGCCAGTTGCATGAGATCTTGTGTTTGAACCCTAGCCTAGCCATATCAAACTAGAGGTAGGAGGAAAAAATCGAAATTAATAGAGGAAGGGGGGACATACTTAAGGTTGGACCAAGCATTCTGCCTCGAGAAAGAAGAACCTGGTAGGTAGCACCCCTCTTGAACCGGAAGTAAATTAGAAAATCAGACAGTAAAATAAACCCTCTTGAACTGAGAGTAAATTAGAAAACCAGACATTAAAACAAACCAGTTGACGTGACATTCACAATCAACCGGGGAAAATTAAACGAGGTAATTTTGGCACAAGTTCACATAAATTGGGTAAAAAAATGTGGGGAAAAAACTGCTAAATCAGGTAATTGTTGTCATAAACATGAAACAAAGGGACAAAAACGAAATAATTGCCCATAAGATCTCAACGACTGTGGCAGGCAACCAATTCCTCTGTCTGTGGACACAAAACTAATTAACATCCAATGATGGCCTAAGGATCTCTTGAGATACATGTTTCGAACACCAAAAAAAATATGAAAAGAAATTTGTCCTCTCCTGGCCCACACTTTTCTTTTCCGACGGCCCCTTGCTCACACCTGATAATCCAATCCATTCTCACACGGCAGGGGCAATCGTCCCTTCAGGACGATGACCATGAGCTCGACCACCATTTCCCTACATTTTGTACCCCAAAAGCGACTCTCGGCTAGTAGCAATTGGTAATGGTAAACCGCGCATGACGTCGTTCCGCAGGCAAGCAGACCGAAACCACGGACGGACGGACGGACGGCAAAAATCAGGATGAAACGATTCCTGACGCCGCCAGCAGATGCCGCAGAAGATTCCGAGCGCATCTCGCCATCCCTTTCACCTTTCCCGTCCACCACCACCACCACCACCATTACCAATTTCTCTCGCAATTGTTTCTCTCGCCAAACCCGCCCGTTTCCCGGCTATAAATGCCGCCTCTGCACCAAGCTTCAATTCCCTTTTCCCCTCTTCCCCAGCTCCCTTGCTAGGTTTCCTTCCGCTCCGCCGTGAGAGCACGCCAAACAGCAGAGCACAATCTGTTTCTTGGCTGCTGTCCAGCCCCGTCCACAGTGGCCAAAAGCCCGCCACCTCAGCCAAATCCTTCTTCCCAAATCTTAGGTTTTGACTTGGGGAGGCTCTGCCCAAATTTTCTTCCCCGGTCGTCCATTTCCAGGGGAGGTTCTGCCAAAAAATTCTCCCCTCATCATCCATTTCCCAGGGAAGGCTCTGCCAAAAATTCCTTCACTGATCATCCATTTCCCAGGGGAGGCTCTGCCAAAAATTCCTTCGCCGATCATCCATTTCCAGGGGAGGCTCTGCCAAAATTCCATCTGAACTTCATTCAATTTCCAAGGGGAGGTTCTGCCGAAATTTGATCTGCGACCGTTTCATTTCCAAGGGGAGGTTCTGGCAAAAAATAAAAAATATTTTTCTTGCCGCACAGCACCAAAACTTGCATCTGAAAACAGAACAGATCGATAATTTCATTGGAAGGTAAAGAAAAGAGTCTGTTGTGTTCTTGATGATAGAGCCGCAGTAGCACCAGGTGTAGATGTTGTTGCTGGTTCTGTTGGAGCATCCCCTTTCCGGATTTATGGTCGGCGCAGCGATCACTCGCCTCGTCCAGTCCTTCTCCGTCGTCTTCCTCTACTGGTTCTACGTCTTCTCCCTAACCACCCTGTAGCTCTGTAGCTGTAGCTGGAGTTCATACTAGTAACATAATCAAGCTAGCTAGCACTGAGTAACGAAGGTACCCAAGTGCTGTTACAAGGTGTGTTTTTTATACTCAAGATATAAGAGGAAGTGAAACTGTTGTAAGTTGTTGGGAGGTGACCATGTCAAGTGGGACCTCGTTCACGTCGAGCCAAGGGACCCGGAGCTCCAGGTCCGCCGAGGATTGCCCGGACCTCCGGGCCCAGATGGAGAAGAGGAGGAAGAGGAGGAAAGAGTCCAACCGGGAGTCGGCACGCCGATCTAGGGTGCGCAAGCAACAACACCTCGACGACCTCTCCTTGCAGGTTTGTTACACCCTTCCAAGCATGCTATTTATATAGGTGCACATAAGCATAAAGTTTGTACATGTCCATAATTTAATTGTGTAGTTGTCATAAATATTTAAAACATGTTTTTTTGTGAGAGCATGCGCCCAAGCATGCGAAAACAAAAATTGATGAAAACGAAGCCCCACCCGAAATATCTGCTCAGACAAAACACAGTTATTGTGATTTCCATGCCCCACCAATTGCCCCCTACCTAACACTTTGAGCAACACCACAAATTCATCCATCATCATGAGCTGCTTATAGTTTGCAATAGGTTGAGTTTCATCAAACTAGCTGCATCACATCTTCTACATGAAAGAAAACCTAACAAGAGCATGAGAAAAAAATGAATCTACATATTGCTAAGAAGAATATATTTTTGTGACAAAAACAGGTGGATCAGCTCAAGAACCAGAGCCAACAAATGAACATGGTGCTGGGCATGACCACCCAAAACCTTGTGGCGCTGCAAGCACAGAACTCGGTGATGCAGACACAGAAGATGGAGCTGGAGAGCAGGCTGTGCGCCCTGGGCGAGATCATCTGCTGCATGAACTCTATCACTAGCACAGCGAACCCCGTCGCCGCCATGGGCGCCACAACAAGCAGTGCCTATGACATTTTTGGCGCCGGCAGCACATGGAGCCAGCCCATAGACTTGTACCAGTGCTTCTAAGGAAGAAGAAGAATGGATGGTTGATGTTGTCATAGCTGGTAGGGCCTCTATGAAGGCATCAGGTTCTGTATCAATCATGTAGGGCCTTCGTGTCACCATTGATGCGTGCCCCCCTCTCTCTCTCTCTCTCTCTCTCTCTCTCTCTCTCTCTCTCTCTCTTGATTGTTTATTTTGTGAGGTTGGGTTGTAATGGTTGGTGAGGGAGGGTAGGAGGGGAATTGATGGGCCATTTTGTCAAAGAGAGAGAGAGAGGCTAGGGATTTTCTACTGGCTCCTGATGGTGATGTCTAGCTAGTAAGATGTGGAATTGGTACCTCTTGATATATAGTATATGCAAAGTGCTTCTCCATCTTCATGTACTCCCTAAGTTTATACTAAATCAGTGACACTTATTTTGGGACGAATAATTATCTCCGCCTAAATCCTTCTCTTATCGCACGTGTCTCTTTTCCTCTTGGTTAGGCTCAAGTATTGCGCTCCAACATTTTTTGAGATGTGAAGCTAGGTAGGTTTTTGCCCATAAGTTATATTTTGCAGATCAGTGTAGATGTAAGTTCAGAAGCATGCAACATTTACGGATAAAAGTCGAATATTGCTCTATTGCCATCGCGACAAGGCAAGGTGACTCAAGAAAGAAGTATGCAAGCAAGATACCTAATTAATCAGAATAATTCATGGAGGCTGGGAATAAATCCATAAATCTCACTAAATACCTAATGCACACCAACGTGTGTAAAGGCTAGGATTTGAACCCTAATGGATACTGTCATGCCTCAACAACTCTACTAACCCACCAAAAGGTGGGTTCTCTACCTCTGCATTGTTCAATGTACAGAGCCCCAGCTCACTACAGAGCCTTGCAAAATCCTTATGATAGCCCATAGCTAAACACTAGGGGAGGGAAAACAAAGTCCCGGCCAAAACAGGATAATGCACAAACCCACCTAAGGATAGAGCATGCAAGAGATTACAAAAACATCATTGCCACGAAGTCACATAACTCAACGTAAAGCAGCCACCCCAACCAAAGTCATGAGACGAAGATTCATTTTTAACCTAAATAGCCAGCTCTAAAATATGGAGGAGAATTTTTTGGTGTACACAAATTATATCTTTACAGCATCTTTATATCTTCTTTTTAACATAGTACAATTACAGACGCTCACATACACTCACCCATATGAACGCGCATACATTGCTGGAAAGCCTGAAATAAATCCAGCAAAATGCGAGCACGGTTGGTTCCACCACAAGGAACCTAACCATATGAGCTATACTCATTTCGCGCATCTTTATATCTTTTGCTAAAGGAAATTGATGAGACAAAATCAATAAAAGTGAAAGCTGCAATGTATGCATCTGTTTGTTTAACAGTGTACTACAATGCTAGCACATTTCAAACTTTAACAAAGTTACAATGCACAGGACAAACATATGTTTCTCCAAGGTATCAAAGTCAGAGACCTCCGTGGCAGTACAGAACCGAATGCTACCTTTACAACCAAAGTGTTATTCCCCAATGTGACAAATTAGGTACACAGGGAAAAAAGCACTCGTTTGCTCAACATAGTGTTAGTAATATAGCATGGCTATAATATTTGGAACAAAGCAGCACTGTCACATTAGAGTGAATATTTCTTTCTTTCATTGCCTAAAATAACCGAAGATTTGTTTCCTCTCCCCCAAAATTCATATAAATGCATGCAGGACCACCTGATGATGCCTAAGCTGGAGCTGCTTTTTGGTATTTCGTTGCTAGATCTTTAGTTTGGTTCTTCTTTCTTAGCTTTGTAGGCTTGCTTCTTTGCTTTATTAGTTCTGTCAGTTTGTAGGTTTTTGGCTCTTGGTTCTTCTTGTTATACTTTCGCCATCGTGTCGTTCTCCTATGGCTGCGGGCATCCATCGATGCAGAGACCCAGGGTGATACCTGCTTTTCGATAAAGAAACCATGGCATTTTGCTTTAGTACTCAGAAATTCTTTTACGACACACATTTAGATGCATATTCCAGAAATAAGATCACATGAGACTCAATTATGTACAAAATTCCAATAGTGTTGGATATCATACCTCTGAAAACACAACTGCTCTCGGAAAACCTAAAGGGCCAGGAGCTCCGCAATTCATTAAGCAGAAAATAATTGATCCAGTTTATACAGAAAACAGGATCGAAAACCTCACGGAAGGCCCCTTTTATAAGGAAAACCGGGCCTACGGGCAATGAAAACATAACCGTGGCCATGGCAAAGCCAAAGACAAGTTTGTATTGTTCACGGGAAAGAATAACCCCATCCGGAAGATATCGCTTGGCATCGAGAGTATTCTGTAACCTCTTGAGTGCCTTTACATTTCAGCTTTCTCTGGTCTGAACCAGAGGGATAGCAGATGCAGATTTTCCTCTTTTCAGATCCGCCAAACGATGTATCAGCTTAATCATTAAAAGGAGAAGAGTTTCTGAGAGAAACCAAGAAAAAGCAAAACCAACACAAACATGTGAAGAAAGATCTAGAAGATGTGTAATCCCCAAAAGAAGAGCCAAAAAGGAACTGTAGAACAGTCAGAGCACTGATCAGCTTTCACAAAGTGGGCTCGCATTTCACTATGGTTCATTTCACCATCAGGCTTTATTTCAAAAACGAGGAAGGCACTGTTTTCTGCTTTGCCAAAAGCCATGTGCTCCCTCCCACAAGCGCCTACACACTGACCAACTTTTGAGATCTTTTCTAATTGCGCTTAGGATATTATTGGAGTACTCAAGCAAAGAAAATGTGCGTCTGCTGCTCGGACGCGTCTCTTGTTTTGTAATTTTTGGGTAGGAAGCCAATTAGACTGCTAGGGCAAGACGATCACGGCCGCGTCGAAAACCCCATAAGCCGGGTCCGTTGCAGTAGGAATTAAACTCGGGCCACTGTCCTGTAAACTGCTGAGATATCACACTCGGTGCAGGTTTGATAAGAGGAGAGTGAGTGTGAGCATTCAGAGAAATCGGTGCATTGAGAATCAAGCATCAAAAGCCATCAGCCTCAGACTTGGAAATGGTACCAACTAATGATGGGGGTGACAAATTCCATATCAAATCTGTTGGTCTCACCTCCCTGCACTGCACCTGTGGTAAGTGCTACAGTAGATGATATTCCGCATGCCAAGCAAAATTTGGTTTCCTTTTCTTTTCTCAAACACGCATCAAAATGCATGTCATTTTTTAGAAGAAGCAAGAGGAAAAAAGGGTATAAACCTCAGAAAATTTCTGGAGATACCACATCAAGAAAGAAGTTGCCATTCATTTCCAGTCCTCCTACTTTGACAGGTTATATACAGCTGTTACATACATCAGAGATAGAGACCCAAAATTTCAGCCACTAGGCTGGCCAGTCAGATAGAGAAGTAAGAGAAACTGTGAAGAAATTCACTCCGAATCGCTTGATCAGTCATGCCAGCTTAGGAGCATCACGACGCATCGACGGATGATGTAGAGCCTGGCCTTGTGCTCCTTGAGAGACCTCTTGAGCCCCTTGAGCTTCAGATCATGAGCGCCTACCCTCATCTTCTGATGATATAGAAATGTGGCTGCCTCTTGGATTTGGAATCCCAAACTCTGGTTTGTGTTGGGTTTTTGGAGTTTGTAGTAGTACAGTTTATATAGGCGCCTTCTATGTGGGCTGTGTCAGTTGATGAGGCTTCTTTCAATGCCATGCTTGTGCACATATTTCCATAAACTAACTTATCGCTGCGTCCATGTCTGCATAAAGAAAAGGAAGTCTTATGTGATCCTGGAGTAATCTAAGTTCAATTTCCTGACGCCGGATTGACCCGATGATAAATAATAGGGTAATCGCATTGCAGTATCATCTGCACCGCACGATGGATAAATAAAAGAAGTTTATGATAAGGATGACTAAGCTCCCAATGGGATACCAGATAGAGCCACTACCATGGGTACCAAAGAAATCTCATGTTATAGTGCAGATACCTAATTTTAGTTTTGCATTCAAGGATTAAACAGCTCAAAAATATCGCCGGCGCAAACCATTCCTATATGTCCACCAAAGGGTTGACATGAGTAACACAAAATGGTAAGCACAGCATGTATCTGCAATGTTTGCTTTGTTGACACAACATGGCTTGTCTGGTTTAGCCGTTTAGGGATAACGTAAACAGAGCATGTAAGGCACCTAACTAAGCCAATGTCAAACATTAGGTTATATTTTATTTGAGGAGGTAGGAAAGTCAGCACCAATTACTTGTACAGGGCTATCACAATAACTTCTATAGTCAACTACCACTTGTTATGCAAGGTCAGCACAGTTGTGAATGTCAACTGAAACCCTGCTCCCAAAACGCAAGCTTAGCAGACAAACAGATGCAAGTAAGCTCCATCCCGTTATGTACACCGAACCTGCCCGTCAGTTACATGTTGGCTGCTGCAAATCGATCAGTGTTTTCCTTTCCCTTTTTAGAAATGTTTGGATCCAAAGAATCTTAAACACAATCTAGGGGAGCAATGGCAGTAGTCTTGTTCATACGAAATCTGCAATAAAGTTGTCCATACAAACTATAGAAGAGCTACCGTTTTCATTCGAATTAAATTTGTCACAACTTTGTAATTCTTCTTTCTGTCCACGCAAACTGACACTGCAAAATTTAAACAGATAGCAACAAATTAGGATGTACATTTAACTTTTCTTCAGAAGAAAAAAGAAGTAAATGTACAATGCACATTTATACCTCATAGCTAGATGGCAGCCCTTGTAATGTGCCACTTCTTCCCAATGACAATAGAGGGTGACAGGTCGAATCTGGGTGGAAGGTCCCATACCCTAATTGAAATTTCTACCAATATAATTATCTCATTCTAGTTGAAAGTAGGAACCAGTTCTTTTTGTCCTATCCGGACCAAAAACTGAGACAGACAACCCGGAGCTATCTCTTTTTGGTTAGTTTCGGAGCGGAAATGGATGCAAATTTTCTTCCGTAGAATATGGAATTGAATGTGGAAGCATG